TGCTCTTAGTCTCCATAGCTATGTGTAAAGGAATTACTTAAAGGCCAAAAATGAGAGGCCTACAAGTTGAATGCAACATATACAACAGATTTTTTAAAATTAATTACTAGTCTTTAAAAATTAGTATAATAATTAAAACTCAGATATGTATTTCTAGCTTCAGATTTCTGAAATCTCCTGAAAAAAATGGAAAGTGAGAGAACACTGGCTCATATTTCTATATGGTAGCAATCAGCTCAAGCCAAGTAGCATCTGTCCCTTTGAGATGAGAGTAGTAGGTACCACTGTCCCCAGCCTGTCCGTTCACTTATTATATTGCCTGCTTGACTTCTGTAATATCTGAATTTGTCACCCCTAAACTGGGTCATCTCTCTCAGATGCCTTGTAGATCTAAAATCATATGGCTAAATATGAGCCTATAGTTTATTACCTAGGAATTTTTTTCCAATAGATTTCTTAGAGAATTTCATGATTTTTAAGCAATTTATTTAATATATACTTTATTAATTTCCTTTGCCCTTTATAGCATATATATTAATTCTACATTGTAGCTATAGATGAGTCATCTTTCTAAGACTGTAAGTGCCTTGAAGTCAGGGATTGTGGTTTTCTCCTCATCAGCCTAACATTGTATTGACTGAAGAAACTAAATTATTTCACTGAGGAATAATATTTTTACAGTCTTTAACATATTTACGATGTATGTATGCTCCTAAACAGAATTCTTTTGAGTTTTCAGATTATCTTACACATTAAGTCTCTTTTTAAAAAAATTCTTATTGTGTCAAATGTGAAATAGTTGTGTAGGTAAAATGCTTTATTAGGTAATACTAGAAAAATTGTAAAGGACTAATTGCATAAACTTTTAAAAGTGTATTTGTGGTATATAAACCCACACACTTTGTGATACAGTAAACTTAGTTTGTCTAGGAATGTATAACCATATTTTAAATTTTGTTTTTCCTTTGATCTTTTTGTTTTCTATACAGTATCGGGAAAATTGCTTGACAGCAAAAGCACTTTTTTCTGACTTCTGCCTGCCAGCTTTATGCCTTCAAACTCAGCTATTGCCATACCTTGCTATGCTAACCATTCCAATGAGAAATCAAGGTAATAACAAGTTTTTCTCTTTGCATAGAAGTAGTATTTTATATCAATATCTTTTTGTGGGCTAACTTACTGCTGTATGAAGTGATATGTATATTTACCTTTTTTATTTTTGATCCAGAATTAATACATGCTTTTTGTTTTAAAAAAGCATCAGACAGGCCAGGTGAGGTGGCTCACACCTGTAATCCTAGCATTGTGAGAGGCCAAGGCAGGAGGATTGCTTGAGCCCAGGAGTGTGAGGTTGTAGTGAGCTATGACTTTACTCCACTGGAGTGACAGAGTGAGACTCTGTCTCAAAAAACAAAGAAGAAAGAAAAAATGTATCAGACAATGCAGAAGTATATAAAGTAAAAATTGACAATACCTCCCTATAATCACAATTTGCTTTGGACAGATTAATGTAAATTCTTCAAGACTTTTTTCTGTGCCTTTAGAAACATGCAGAATGTGACAAGGTTTAATTTACTTACATCACTTACCATGGATAGCCTTTCCTGTTGTATACGTTAAGGTCAAAAAAGCAGCGGTAAAGTATATTAAAATCTAACTCTCTTTTTTTCAAAATTTACAGTTTCACTTAACCCTATTAATGGACATATTGGTTGATTTAAATATTAGAAAAATGTCCATTAATAGTATATCTCCATTTTATTTGCAAGTTTTGAAATTAGTATACCTATAGCAGTGCACACTTGCACAAGTTATATGTCTTCTGAGATTTGCCTTTTTATGAACTTGACGAATTTTACCCTCAGTTTCTCTTTTTTAATGTGTATTTTAAAGGCCATATTTCATTAGCGGTCATATGTCTGTAGTCCTGTTCCTCAAGATAGAATAGAGAATTCATGTAATATGAAAAATATTAAGGCCAGATGTGGTGGCTCACTCCTAGCACTTTGGGAGGGCCAAGGCAGGAGGATCACTTGAGCCTGGGAGTTTGAGGTTGCAGTGATCTATGGTGACGCCACTGCACTCTAGCCCAGGCAACAGTGAGACCCTATCTCAAATAAAAAAGAAAAAAAGGCAAGTATCTAAGAGGCTTCATAGTATTAGATTTGCAAACTTAAAAAGATTTATTAAATTTAGTCAAAAGTAGGATATTTTGGCTTTTTTTCATTATCAATTTTTATT